CATCTCCACTCCACATTCCACCAACCAGTGTTTCTCTCAAAGACTAAAGAACGATGGCCACTGTGTGTATCTGTGCTTTGCCACTGAGGAGAACCTTTCACAGGGTTGCTACAGTACAATAAACTTGCATACTGTAATATGCATTGTATTATTTATTGTTCCAGCATTTTGTCAGAGTAGAAGGTTTTATTTCTGAGTCTCCCACTTGAATGGTCAGTTTAACTCACAGGGATGTGCAGCTCTCAGGAAGATCAAGTTTCTGCCAAGTCTGACTACCTCCGACGTCTCTGCTCCATATTTCAGTCCAGTCTACATTAAGCTTTTTTTCCTCTCATGCTGCATTACAGCTAAGTGGAGAAAAGTCACAAGGTCCAAAGTCATCATATCCGAATGAGTTAACCAGACTATTCATTGTGGACGCGCACACAAAAGAGAAGAATCCATTAACACACAAAAGCTACCCAGCAGGTTAAGTGATAGATTCTGCAGTGCACACTGTTTCTTTTATCTTGAAAATTTGCATTGACAACATTTACAGTGTGTCTTATGCACAGGTGTTAAAAGGATGCCCAAGCAAGATGGTGAAAGATTTGTGGCTTGTTATGTAACACATAAAAATATGTAGGTGTTGCAAAGATGACACTTCAGAAGCGGAACAGAAACAGTATTTACTGCAGCAACACAAGTGTAAATTTGTACATTTGTATCATCTAATGTTGAGCAGTTTGACCTATGACCTTAACTGGCTGTCAAAATGAACTTCTAGCCTTCACCATTATCATCTATCTGTACCCGGTCAGGACCGAACCTGCAGCTGCTGCAGGAGGACTCAAACCTCAATGTCTGTGTCCTCCTTCAGAACAATGCCTGTTGTTTTGGTACCACCAACCTCTTAAAAGTGCAGTAATCTTTATGATGAGGGGTTTATGCACTGTAACCCTACTATAATATCACCCTCTGTCATATCAACACACTGTTCTTGCTGACACTGTCTTATCACGCCCTGCATTGACATTCTCAGCCACCTGAGAACCTCACATATCGCACTGATCCTCGAGGATCAGAGTCATCAAATGTGCGCTGACGACCACAAATTCTGACCCTATTCACTGGCGTCCTCCCCATCATTCTCAGAGCAGATGCCACTTTAATCACCACTCATATTAAAACTCCAGCCATGCCCTGGAATCTCTGCCCAAACAATCGTCCCTCTTTTAAAATCCCTCACAGTCATTGTCCCATGCAGTGCAATTGGATTTGCTTCTCCTTGATTCAGGTTTCTCCTTTAACTTGTCACTCGTCTATATAATGGACTTGGGGTGTAGACCTCTCATTACATTCATTTACAGGCCGAGCATGACTTTTACTCACACAGAAAAAAACCTTCCTTGGAATGCTGAACAAGTCTGAAGCATTTCACTTTCCTGCCTGCCTGCAGCTCATTGCGATACTGAAGTGGTGTGGCCTGCCAAATGACACCTCACACATTGTAAAGATCCCACGCCTAGTTTACACCTACTGCAGAGGCACAAAGAAAGTCCCTCGGTAGGTTAAACACTTCGTATGACATTTTGTAAACTTTTAGTCAGTTCCAGTTAAACATTTGGATTAAAAAACAACAAAAAAACAACCAACACTCTTTTCTGTATCAGGCTTCCAGCTGTTATGACTCATATCCTGATTCATTATCAATGCAGCCAATTACACAAACTTTGATCTGATATGACTTTATTACTTCACTGGGAAAATCAGGTATGGGAAAGGTGGGAAGGTGTGTTTTTAGTATGTTTTTTGCACATTTTTATCTTTTCCCTTGCGTGTTACTACAAATAAAGTCATGATGATTTCCTATTTGCAACTGCTTTAAGAAACAATGTAAATGTATGAACAGATCGATGCAACTTTGTTGACACTGCATCAACTAATAATCTAACACTGGACCACATTTTAAAATGCTTTAAAATTTCACAAACCACTGCAAAAAAAAAAGAACATGCTCATTGTGCAGCCCCCACATCTGGTTACATGGACTTTAACTCAGTATATGAGGTTTTGAACATTGACTTGCTTCATGTATTGCTAAAATTGACAGGGCTTGACTTCCTAATTTATGACAGTAATGACCGATTACATTTAAAACAAGCACAGACAAAGCACATAATGATTGTGTTCTGTGTCCACCCTTTTTTCAGATTACATCAGCAGCATTTCTTTTCTTCTGGATTATTTGCTGCTCTACTGAAACCTCTGCATTCTTAATCCGTGTTTATCAAACTTCTCAATCATGTGACTGTTCAGGACTCTTGTTCAGCTGCAGGTTCAGCCAGGTTGACCATCACTACTGTGTGGGCTTTGAGTTATTGCCATGTGGCACTCGTGTATGTGCATTGAGTATTTATGTTAAAAAAGCAGTGAGAGATACAGGTGTCTCGGTTTGTGTGTCAGTGCAAGAGTGTAAAAAGTCAAACAATTCTCTATAGAGCATCTGTTGAAACTTTAATACAAAAAGAACATAACTAGTACATAAATTATCTTCTAATAGCACTTGGACAGCAGAGATTTGAGCTTTAGAGTAAAGTTCACACCATGGTAGAAATTGGAGGCATGTGCATGTGAAGAATGGGAAGAATGAAAAAGAATGCAGGCCTCACCTACACCAAAGGTACAGGGGGAAGAAACAAGTGCTGCAGTGTTTGATTGTGGAACAACTTGGGTGTGGTGAAAAGTATCCAGCGACAAAACAACCCAGTAAATATGTCATCTGTAATGTGCATCACTGATTCATGTGCACGATTGTTTCCACCAAAACAATGATGAGGGATCTAGCAGGCAGCATTGAAGACAGTGTATTTGCTTGCTGTTATAACAAGACTTTAATAAGACATAACTCTGCCAAAGGCATTTGTTTAATTAAACCTAAATAATACTTTATACTAATAGTTCCACTTTTGTTCATATTAATCTATGCTTCTCTGTGTCAAGCTGACTGGAGTAGTACTGGTGCATATGATTTTGAATGAGAATGTTTGGTTCGATATGCAAGTGCAGAGGTCTGAGTTGTGTGACTGTGAGTAAGCTCAGGATTGTCAGATAAAGGTCAAATTCAACCACAGTTGGAATGATCATGCATCATGTTCTTAGTGAGTGCATAATAGACGTGAGTTAGACGTTTTGCTCTGATACTGTTTGCAGATTTGCATCGGCATGAGGGAACTCCATTCGATCTCTTTTTTAAATCAAGTAATGTGACCAAGAGTAGTTGAGCACTGTGAGCTGTGCCCGGCATGGCAGTGTGTGCTGGTCCTGTCCTGGAGCCACAGCTAAGTAACTCTAATAGTCCAAAGCAACAGAAAAGCTTACAGACCCATTTGCAGTTGAGGAGATGATTCTTTAGTTAAGACGTGGACAGATGCAGATAAAGTTTAGATTAAGTTGTCCAATAGAAACAACGTCATTCAGTCCTTGAGGAAAGAGACATTGTGTAACATACCTGAATTTTTTTAAATAATCGTGTTAGCAAGATAAGCTGCCTCCAGGCACTGAACTATAAATAATCTAGATACAAAAAAATGACAAAAAAACAAATAAGTAGTGCCCTGGATGAGGAGGTCGGGGTGGAAGGACGGGCTTCCAGAGTGAGTGACTGAGATGCAACATGTCAACGTATAACTTGTTTAGCGGGTTAAATGTTTGTGGAGAAGAAAAAACAAATGCTGTTTCTGTTTAACATGTTCTACTACAGTTTTGTGGAGATGCTGCAAAAGCAGACACTGAAGTGAAATCTTACTATATATACAACACAATTAAAGAACTATTACCCAGCATGCTCTTTTAGAAAAAGATGGATTATAATTGTGCATGCGTTAACATCTAAACAGCATTTTGATATTGTAGATGGTTCACGTGAAGCAGAA